TCATCACTATCACTATTACTAGCATCGTTAATGGAATCATCATCATATCTAATTTTCCCATCATCTTCCTCTTCGCTACTTTCAATTTCTAACTTTTGAATTTCTGTTGAATCTGTTCCTTTTTGGTCCTCTAATTTCTGACTGCCGTTTAGTTTTCTAGGTATTTTATTATTTTGTTTGGGCCCAAAATGCCTTTTTAAATGGCTCCTTTTCTTTTTTAAGAATGGTCATTTCTGATTTCTTTTCATACAATTGAAAAATCAAATTTTAAATGAGATGCGCGCCTTGAGGCGTGCGCATCAGATTTAGAGGCGTGAGCCTCATATTTTTAGCCTTAAAAATACCGTCTCGAGGCATACTACATGCGCCTCACAGTGAGGGGGGGCCTCAAGGCGCGCCTCACTACCGCCTCAAGACTATCTTATAAAAGTCATCTTAACACTTTTCCTCCATTTATTTGACATCTTTTCACACATTTAAGTCTCACTAAATAATTTTGTCAATCATACGATACCCACCTTACCCAGACACTTCCACAATCGATTGAATTCCATCTAAAACAATTTCTTTTCTCATTTTTATCTTCTTTCAAAAGGTCCATGATGTCTAATATCCAGATTCTTCTAATATAGTTAACACATCTATCTATAGTAGATAGACCCGAACAAACCTTTGCACGCTTTTCACTACATCCAATATCTAATGGTGGGCATCGGTTGCTTCTAGATAAATTAAAAATTAATCCATTTTTCACGTCAACTGCTTCTTAACAAGACCTTTGTTCTCCTTGATGTTTCCCTCCATTGTTGTAGTTCTACGATTTAGCACGTTGAACATCACGCAATAACAAAGCACACATTAGGGAAAGCAAGAAAGAAAAGAGAAAGAGAAAAGTTAATTTACTTTCCCTGACTCAAGTATCTGATCCTCTCCGATCTCTCCTATACTAGTGTGCAAATGAATATTAGTCATTTACACAGTCATAATAAACAATATCATTTAACCTTTGACTTTTCAAGGTCCATAATCCTGTCCTTTTTTTTTTTATTTTGGGATAACCGTGGATGTTCGGGCCAACTTGCGAACACCTCGACTAATCCTACGGGCCCTGAAATTTACGGCTGGGTACTCATCTCAGTGGCCTGAGGAGACTCGAGCTAGTGACCATTGGAGATCAAACCTAAAACCTGACCAATTGAGCAACCCCTCAAGGTTATAACCCGATCCATTTGCCTTCCCTATATTTATTCTTTCAAGGAAGCACCTGGCTTTATATCTCTGCAAAGCTGGCGAAATATGGATCCTACAGGAATCTACATTCTGTGTGATTAGGATCTCAATCTTACTCTTTCATAGCCTATCCAGAAAATAGGTGGCTTTATATGGTTATTATTGACATCTGATAATATATGCGATTTGGCATTTGTTCATCATAATGCCACCCATTATACTCTCTCATACTAACAACTTCCTAAGTGGTACAGGCATCTAACGTAAGCAAGCTTGTTTTGGTGACGTACCATCAACAAGCATGGTTCAACAGCTAGTGTCAATCAATACAGGATACAGATTGACTGAGGTGAGAAATGTACCAAGTGCAGCCTTTTATTCATTACGAAATTTCAGCTAAATGAATTAACGTTATGTAGTTCATGTACTTAGGAACTGAAAAATTGTTTCATGTAGTACCTTTTGAGATCTGTAAGTCAGACATATACATCTATACACTCAGTTTAGAAAATATATGCCGAATAAATAAAGCGAAAAAGTAGGAAGACATATGAGACTGAAAGTCCAAGCAGAAATAAGATCAAATTTCTACTTTTGTTGTCTTTTATCTAAATTTTTTAATTTTTCCCTCAAAATTGCTGTAGGGACAATTTCCTCTTGCCTATTGCAAAGGGGATGGACAAAGTACTCATCCAAGCATTTGATAACTAATAAAGGAATACACATGGATAGATATCCAGCCTTAACTTTTTTTATTAAGACTTACGGTTCAACCTTAAAAGACTAACCTTAGTAAGAGAAGTAGTCTAAATCCTTATATGTTGGTTAGAACTTTTTATACTTAATCAATGTGGGATTTTACCCTTAAGACATCCCCATAAGATGTTATCTCGTTTAAGCACATCAATCTTGAAATTTGAATAATTGTTTGAACTTTAGATGGAACGAGTTGCTTGTTTAAGCTTAATGGGGTTTGATATATTATTAAGACTTGATCCATCTTAAAGTTAACATTATTAAGAGAGTAACTCAAGCCATCATTCGTTAAATAGTATTTTTCAAATAATTAATTGGTGGGGGATTTTACCCACTGTGAAGTGTCGAAAGCAGCAATTCTGGTGAACACCACCATCTAAAATTCCACCCCATATGTTTATATCTTGAAAATCTGATTCGTAGATGACTAATGTGGAAAGGTCAGGTTTCATTCCACTGGTATATTTCCTACGCAATCTGATTCTTACCCAAATCGTGCCAAACTCTGACTCAGAATGTGTCAACAAGTAACAAAAATGCATAATAGATTCACCCATTAAAAAATTAAACAAGCACCGGAACAGAAAAATCCATTCAATTAAAAGAATAAAACAAATGTTCTTATAATACTGAATATGCAATTTACATAATTGTGTTTCAAGAGCTCAGGTTTCGAACGTATTATGTAGAAAAAAATTAGTACCTGATGAGATTTTTGGAAGTAATGCGAGGGGCTTTAACTGCAGCACCGATTAAACTACTCCCTGTTATATATATTCCCCTACAATTTTGTACAGTTTGAAGAAATCAGATATAAAGTAACGAAATACACAACAGGCTTTGAAAGAATAGATAGATACCAAGCGGCACCGAGGACGGAAACGCCGATGGATATGGCGATTCCGATGGCGGCGAAGGTGTACGGAGAGATATGAACCAAAGCGGCTGACCATGAACTCGACGATCCAACCATTGTTGCGAAAATTTTCTTCACTATCTGTTCCTCTCTGATTTAGATCAGATATCGGAGAAATTTTGATCGAGAGAATTAAAATGTGAGGTGGTGGATTTGAGACAATTGAAATGGGCCGATTGCGATTAGGCCGATTTGGGCCGTATCAAGTATGAATGAAGTTTGGATCATGCTTCAAAGAGGAAAAAGGGAATAATTCGTGGATCAGGTTTTAACTATCATCAAATCAATTTCAATTTTCATGCTTTAAGTTTAAAAATTTCAAAAATCAGGTATTTATTAATAATTAAATATATTTTATTAATTAAATATATTAAAATCACAATTATACAATTTATGATCACGTATACATACTTACAGGTCACAACTTATTTATTGATCACATTTTACCAAATTAATTGGTCACAAGTTAATTTTCGATCACAAATCAGAAAATTTACAGGTCACAAATTATTTTACGATCACATATTAAAATTTTCATAGGTCACAAATCAAAAAATTAATAGGTCACATGTCACAAATCACAAATATTATGAGTCACAACTTATTAGTCATTCACAAATTTTTAAATTATCGATTACAAATTAATAATTTTTTAGGTCGCATATAATTTCATGGTCACAAATTAATTTTTCATTGGTCACATATTGTTTATTGGCCATAAATTAACCAATTTAATGTCACATTCGACTAAATAATTGGTGATCACCACCAACACTTGCGACCTCCGACAGCACCATCGTCTTTGCCTCCGGCGCACCGAACCACCACCACTACCGCCAAACCACCGTCGCCAAAACCATCACCACCTCATGGCAACCAGGAACACCGTACTCTCTATCTTTGCTCCACAACCACCACCACCACCTCCACCTCCACCTCCTCCCCACCACAACCACCAATTTCACCCCAATCGCCAGATCCACCACCACAAACCCCGCCATGACAGCCACGCCATCACCACCAAAAGGACTAAAATTTTACTGCCACCACAACCACGTCACAAACCACTACAACCACGTTTTTACCTCCCTTAACACCAAACACAACAACCATCAGCCAACACCACGTCTCGAGACCAGGAGCCGCTACCGGAAACGGTAGTACTAGCATCAACGACTCAGATCTGATCATCCCAATGATTAAGCCTCATGGGGTTGCGTTCACCAACTAGACGTCTCGCCTTACCTAGTTGATGGTTTTCATGAAACAGCACCGTCAAAAACAGAATTACGAATGCACAGCTCAGATCTGTTTTTTCTTACCGCAAGCTGCCACTCCCAAACAGCAAATCGCAACACACATCGCTGGTGCTCTATCGCGACGGTGGTGCGAGGTTGGGCTACTAGGGCTCACATCGCGAGCTGTGAGGGAGCTATACAGCAGTGATGAGGGCGAAGGAGAGGGGAGAGAGAGAGACTATAGAGAAGAGGGGTAGAAGACGAAAGAGGCGAGAGAGAAAGGAGTGCAGACGATAGGGAGATGGGAGTGATAAAAAATTAAAAATTAGGGTTTTAATATTATTATAATCATTAAAGTATAAAATTATTAACTCATTTTTGAATAAGTAAACTTTAAACCTGATTTTTTAAAACCAATATTTAAAGATCTGGATTTGTGTAATTTCTTCATCTTTACACACCTGTTGCTGCATAAATTCCACCTTCAAAGTTTCATTATCTTAATGGGCTCAAACATTTTGGCCCTTATTTGGTATAGATTAAAATTGATAAAAATTTCATGTCGTCAATAATAAATTTTAGTCACACATTTCATCAATTTTTATCAAAATATATTAAAAATCTTATTACACGGAACATGAGCTTAATGCCCATGTTGCTTATGACTATGTAGTGGTCGATTTCTTAACTTAACTGCTTTATGAGGCTAACCGAACTACTCATTTTGAAAACTTCGAAATATTTCTCTTAAAGTTGATTTGGAGTTGATCTATGTCATGCCTTTAATAGAGAGAATCAATATTTATAGGTAATACTGAATTGTAGGGCTCGACATTTTTATTTTGGACCATCTGACTAGACCAGAATTGTACCAGACTGAGCGTTCAATCCAATTTCAGTTAAAGTGAAATATGTTATTGAAATAATCACAAAAATTTACCTCCACGGCAATGATGACGTGTGGGGTGTTCCGGTTGCTCAAATCAACAAATGTTACCTACGAAGTGAGGTCGGGGCTTTTTCCCCCGTTGTACCTCCTGTTTGAGAATCAGTAGGTGCTCAAGAAAAGTAAGAAAAAAGTATATTGAGAGTTTCAAGCAGTTCAGGTTCCAAGAAGAAACTACATTTCTCACCTTGGAGGTATTTATAGGCACATGTTGTTGTGCGTGCGTTCGGCGGTTGCTGGTGCCACGTGCCCCACGTAAACCTACCCACTTCCTCCACGTTTTTGAGTTGTGACCCCCATTCGTCAAGCGGTTGATTATGCACATGTTCGCTGTTGGTCGATTTTCGTCCAACTCATTGCCATTTATTTGGCTAAATATGATTTTGCTCGCATGTTGGTAGGCGGCCCTGTGGAACGTAGAGGGCCTCATGGGGGTCGACGGCCTTATAGCGGTCGATGGTCTATGTGAATATAGAGGGCCTCATGGGGGTCGACAACCTCCTAGTGGTAGACATCCTATATGAACGTAGTAGGCCTCAAGGGGTCGACATCCTGGGGAGGGTGCACATTAAGTAGCCGACCATCGTGGAGAATTGTCAACACCGTCTTATATCACTATCCCATCTGCCTTTTGTCGACATTTATTGAGGAGAGGTAGCATTTTCTGGTGCAGAACGAAAGTTTAGGGTTCAAAGAGACTAACAATGGGAAAACAAAAATAACGCTAAAACTTTAATTGCCCAGTAAGAGGCCTTAAACGGCGAATTTGAGGCTAGAAACAACCTCAATCGGGGATCCCAATCAAGATGATGTAGACCGCTGAGAGACGTTTTCGAAAATATATTATCATAGACAATCCGACATCTGTGCAAAAATTTATGGCCGTTTCTTCGGAACATCCCTTTTAGCTAATTTTTCGGTCCAATTCCCATTCAAATTCCAATTGATTTTCAGTTTTGGGGGGATGTGGGGTTCTCATTGTCTCACTTCACTCTTTTGCTTGCCATACTTCCAATCTTTTCATCTTCTCTCAAGGTAAACTCCTTCTTCCTCCTATTTTTGTCTTGTATTTTCATCATATATAAAACATTCATATCCTCATCTGATAAAAGTGAAAGCGAAGAGACGAGGGGGTCGATCGACCCATTGTTGGATGGGCCGGTCGGAGAAAATTTGTTGCCAACCAGCAACCAGGGCTGCTGGTCAACTTTTGGCCAACCTCATGGCGGCTGAAGGTCGACCGACATCGTGACTGGCCTGCCGTCGGCCTGTCGCAGGATGTCGGCACTATTTTCGAAGTTGACTTAGATTCCACCCCTTGCGGCCGACTTGGGGTCAGTTCTGACATTAACGAATATGTTGTTAGTCAGGATTGGTTATCCTACTGGTAGGTTTTCATTCCCTACTCGTATATATTATTTTTGAGAGTATTGTTTCCTATTACATGAGCTTGATTAACTCGATTTTTTTACTCATAGATATGGATTTTGACTTGGACGAGGTATTGAGGTCCCTGCCAGAACCAGGGAGTGACGAGGGGTTTGTCCCTATCGATGGTAAAATTTTTACATGTCTCATTTTTCTTGCACCTCTTGACTTGTTATTCCATAAGCTTGATAGTTTTTATTCTATTGATGTAGGCATTGACTTCAACTTAGGGGGAACCATGGACCCTTTGGCGGAGTATGGTCACGAGAATGACGATGATCCACTTCCCGTCCTGTTGAAAATGAAGGCCTTCGATGGGGGAGCACAATAGACTACGGTCGAGGGGGCTTCTCAACTTTTGAACGACCCCGTTGAGGTTGTCCCGCCACCAGTGGACTTAGAGGGCAGCCCAGGTCATGTTGCACCCAAGTGGGAGGGTTTTTCTCTACCAGATTTCAGATTTCCTCCTTATCGGGGCTATTCGGAGATAGGGCATTTAAGTCTTTGGTTACGCCCAGGCATGTTGAATCGATTGCTTATCAGAGTGTTGATGACATCAAGATGGCTCTGTCGTTCACACTTTAACCATGCCGGGTTTTGAATTCGTGTCACTAGCCCCTAACGATTTTGAACTAGCCAATTTTTGACTTTTTTGTTCACCGCTATTCGTCATGTTGTCTTGCATTGTCGAGGTAGGGATTAGGTGGTTTTTATCCTTAACCATTTTTGATTTTGAAAATTACCACCTGACCTTAGTGATTTCACGCTAGTCAATTTTTTTATTTTTTATTTTTTGCTCACCGCTATACGTCAAGCTGTCTTGCAACGTCGAGGTGGGGATTAGGTGATTTTGAGCCTCAACCATTTTTGGTTTTAAAAACTCACCCCTAGCCGCTAGAGATTTTGCGCTAGTCAATTTCTTAACTTTTTTGCTCACCGCTATACATCGGGCTGTCTTGCAATGTCGAGGCGGGGATTAGGTGATTTTGAGCCTTAACCATTTTCGATTTTGAAAACTCACCACAACCCCTAGCGATTTTGTGCTAGTCAATTTCTTGACTTTTTTGCTCACCGCTATACGTCAGGCTGTCTTGCAACGTCGAGGCGGGGATTAGGTGATTTTGAGCTTTAACGATTTTCGGTTTTGAAAACTTACTACTAGCCCCTAGCGATTTTGCGCTAGTCAATTTCTCGACTTTTTTGCTCGTCGCTATACGTCGAGCAGTCTTGCAACGTCGAGGTGGGGATTAGGTGATTTTGAGCCTTAATCATTTTCGGTTTTGAAAACTCACCACCAGCCCCTAGCGATTTTGAGCTAGTCAATTTCTTGACTTTTTTGCTTACTGTGTCGAACTATGTAGGGGATGATGAGGTAGGTTTGTAATATTTACATCTATCAATAATGGACCGAGATCTTCTAGCATAAATAAACATGCCAAGAGTTG